CAAATGGCAAGTCAAGTCACCTTTATAGCGCTTTTTACAATACAGATTGTTTCAAAGCAGCTTTACAGTGATAACAGGAAAATAATGTTGTAATAATATTGTTAAATATAAAATTAAATGTCCCCAACTAAGCAAGCCAAAAGCCAATGGCGAAAAAGGCAACAGTGGCAAGGAACCAAAACTCCATCAGGTGACAGAATGGAGAAAAAAACCTTGGGGGAACCCAGGCTCAGTCGGGGGGCCAGTTCTCCTCTGGCCAACGAACGAACAGTGTATGATTATGATTCAGGCAGCATTATTGGTCAGAAGTCAGATTGAACATTCACAATATTTATCCAGTTCCATCTGGTTGGAGGTCGGAGTCATCACGCCGGTATGGAGACGAGTTTGTTGAGGTGTCCATGAAGCCTTCACAGGGCTGATGAGGCTGGCACTTTAGGGATGCGTTGTGGTCTAGGCGCAAGTCCACCATCTGATCTGGATACGGCCTGGGTCCGGCTGATTACAGTTAACCTCGGAATAAACATAAGGACTAAAATTAGCGTATATGCCATTCTTTTTATGATGTAGCGAATACATCACGTGTTATAGGAAGTGTTCCCGGTTCCGGCTGACCTAATTTATGCAGCCTAATAATCATTTAACTGATTTGAATTCAGGGAATGCTTTCTTTTCTGCCGCTTTCTCACCGCTGTCATTTTTTTGTTGGGTTTTATTTTGTTATTGAGAGGAAAGCGCGCAGCACATAACGTCGCTCTAAGCCGTGTGGACGGCGGTGGGATGTTCGCTGTATTTCCAACTTTTTACTTCTAAGCAAAGAACGAAAAAGAATTTTGCGATGAGTATATTGGGGCCTTGAATCACGTTCAGTCTCTTGTACATTGAGTGTGAGCGTGAGCAATAAGTTGCTGGCTGCAGTTCACTTAATCACCACCGGTGTCACTAATAACAAGGGTTTCTGAATTCTACATATCGTTAGCCTCATAGCATAATTGCCTTAGACATATTTCAAATAAACATGACTTAGGCAATTATGCTATGAGGCTAATGCACACTCTTGGTAATATCATTTATATTTGTATGTTATTCGAAAGAATTTTGTAATCTTTCATCAAAGTAGTAGCTATTGAGGCAATGTTTTAGGCCAGGGGCCCATCTAACAAATATTTGTTTGTTTAATTGTTTTTTTCTATTGTGATGTATATCTGAGTGAAACTGCTTCCAAAACGAGAAAAATGTAGGGTGGATTTTGTGTGAAAAACATTTTTCATAATTCATTTGTGATAAAATCAAGTTATATTTTTGATTATCCTAATTCATTCAGGTTGCAAACTCTTAAAGGGACAGCTCAGTCAAAAATGAAAAGTCTGTCAGCATTTAAATCATCATTCAAAGTGTTTTTCTCCATGCATTAAAAGTCAGTGGGGACCAAAACAACATTAGATTTTATTAACTTCCATTGTTTGGAGGAAAATATAGGTTTGGAAAAACATCAGGAAGAGTAAATGAGAAAAATGTCTCTTTTTTTTCTGTGTGAATTGAAATGGAAAATTTCAGTGAACTCTTTAATATTGACTTGCAGATAAAGTTAACTACATGTAGGACGGATTAATCTGAGACTTTTGAACAATTTTCTGTCATGTCACTCTAAACATAAGGAGATGGTTTCACAAGCAGCTTTTATGGTTACTTTTAACCCCTCGGACGCTGACCGTGCCGTACCAGAAGACGAAGAGGAAATTACTCTTGCAGGATTTCTCTTACGGAGACAAATTCAGACAGGGTGTTAAAGAAATGATGACTGTCGCTGTCTTCTGTGTATGTGTTTATGGGTGAGTGGATCATCACTCTTCAGACGGTGTGTCTGTCTTCCCCTCCATGAGTCTGCCTGTCACTCTCAAGCCAGAGATGAGCCATATCTCCCAGCATTCCACACACCAAGTGCTCTTGCCATCTCTCCAGCCGTTGCCGTGCCAACAGCACTTGTTTCTTCTCCCTTTCTTTCCCCGGGGACAAAAAGTCAAAGGCGGCTATTCGTCTCCCCCCTCTGGCAGCCATATAACTACAAACTCATCATAGGTCTATTAGTGCTGGACTCTTTCAGTCCCACTGTGACTTGAAATAACCGGAGGGGCGCCATTACTGTTAGCACACATTTGCTCACCGATTTTTCTATATAGTGTGTCAGTAGGGTTGAAAATCAAGAACCGGTTGAAAGCTGGTTTCAGTTAAAAAAATAAATGGTTCTTGAATGTGTACACTTATCATTTTAAAGAAACATGAAAAACGTATTCTCGCATTCTTTTGGGAATGAATTGCTTGCTTGAGTCTCATATGATTAATGAAGCATGATCGTACTGAATCGAAGGTCATTATTTTATGATCACATCCAGCTAAAAAAATGTAACTACAACCATTAGTGTATTGTGTTTTTTAAGGCTCGTGACACTCACTGTAATTCAGGGTAATTTCGGACTGGTTTGTTATGACACTATCTAGTTACACATTCAGAACAGAGTTTTGTTTGTATAGATAGATCGTCTTCATCCTCAGCCAATCCGTGACAATTACATATAAGCACTCACTAGGTTTTGGAACAAAGCCCCAATGTTTGTCAAAGCAATTCACTCTAGGTTTTGTTTAGTAGTTAGGGCCAATTGCTTCCTCAAAAGCACCAAAAAGATCATTAATTAAGTCATCATGGACCCGGTAAGTTCATTGAAAATCATTAAGAAATGATTAGGTCCTAAGTGAAATTGGATTATGTAATAGAATCATTAAATTCATTACAATTCCCATCCTTAAAGAGTCCGGATAGGTTTGTTTATTGATCTATTAAAGGTGCAGTATGTAGATTTTAGCGACATCTAGCGGTTCGGTTGCAAGTTCCACTAAGGGCTCAGCCCACTGCTCACCCCTCCCTTTCGAAGAAGCTACGGTGGCTCAAACGGGACAAACATATTCACATTTGTGTGTAACATTGTCACTGATTCTGTACCACAGTCCATTATAAACCACATCATGGATAAAGTTTACAAAGCCATAGTCAGGTGAGGATCAAGGGTCTTAATATATAATATAATAAGAGTAATCAGCTGATTCTCTCACAAACGTAACCAGCACATTTCTCCCCACATAGCAAACCCATAATACAGCGAGGGAGAAGAACCACGTGAAACTATGCAACTACATGGTTTTTCCAACAGGGTAGTAAAAGTTTAGCTGGCTAATATGAGCTGTTACTGTGGCTGAGCTGGTTAAAGCGTAAAGCCTTGTTTAAACCTGACGCGTCCGCATGAGCCCAAAGGTGCGCACGGCAAAAATGACGTGATTGTAACAGCGCGCGCGCCTCCGCATCCCCTAGACACCATTTACTACACACAAATGAATAAATAATAATGAATAAAAATATTGTTTTTTTTCTCTGGTTTTGAAAACTCTTCGCGATCGACTTAAAATGCTTCCAAGATCGACTTGTCGACCGCGATCGACAGGTTGGTGACTCCTGTAACGTTACTGTTTTACGGTCAATAGTACTAATCAGCTGATTGTCAAAGCCATAACACAGTGAGGGAGAAGAACTAAGTTACTTGAAACAATCCAATTACATATTTTACACCACTGACAAGGGAAAAGTCACTACTCACGGTGTCTATGGCTAGCTTCTAGCTTTCTGCGGCTTCTCTTACAAGGTATGAACGAAGCGCGCTCTGTAGCGCTGTTTGTTCGCTGTCGGCTACGGTAGAAACATGACGTCACAATATGTCGACCTTCATAGAAGGGGGTGCCCGCGGTTATGTAGATATAAATGTCTCATTCTAAGGTAATAAAAACATAACGGTTCATTGAGTAAGGTCTTTATACACCACTGAACACATAGTTATGGATCTTATATTGCATTTCTGTCAATAGATCCTCAGAAATATTACACATTGCACCTTTAATCTGTCCATGTGTCTGTTCAGTCTATACTTTGACCTACATACTTTCAGTTGTGTTACATTCTGCTATACCAATTTTTTTTCCTTTATTTTGTTTATGGCCTTTTTGCCATTGATGGGCAAATAGAAAAAAGACAGTAAATGATGCAAACCAGATAAGCACCACGGCTCAACTCACCGCCATGGCCTCTGAAATCTCTCCGATTTTCAGACTCCATCCACTGCTGTTTTCTCTTCAAAATTCATATGTTAGACTCTTTTGCTATGATTATAATCTTGTTTGTGCTTTGGCTTTCTTTTGATCTGAAAATTCTGTAATAGGAAAAACATGTTTTATCTCGCTGTTTTCCCATCCTTTATTCTCCTCGCTGTTCTGAACTGAGTAAATACTGAGTGTAATGCTTTATAGTAGATCTACTTGCCTCACAGCACCTTCTTTGTTGTGTCTTTTCCTCATGCACTTAATCTCAGTTATAGCATTGTTGGCTTCACTTTTTTATGTTCTTTGTCTTGCCTTTATTATTGATTCCAAATCTCCACAGAACTGTAATGTTCTTGTTTTACAAATATGGATTTATTGCAATTACAAATTGTATTACATTTTTTAGCTTCCCAGTGAGGACAAATGTCTGACAGTATACCTCATCACTCAGGCTCTGTTCCAAAACCTAGTGAGCTGCCTTGCTGTCTACTATAGGCAGCATCCATAACTGAAATGAAACCTCATCAGTGAGTGATTTGGGACACTAGATATGCAGAGAGATTGCTGTTAGCTTTTTGCTAAGCTAATGGCACAGTTCTCTAAGCATATTCTTTTTTCATTTGATTAATCTTTTTAGAAATGCTTTTTGTATTTATTGAATTATGTTCAATATATTTGTCATTTCATCCACCATTAAACAGCTTAATAGTCCTTGAGCAAGATGTTTAATAAGAACTCATCCAAAAAAATCTTCTGTACGATAATGCAATATTAGTGATACAAGTTTAGGGTCATATTTGTTTTAAAGAAAATTAATACATTCAAAGTGACACTTTTCTCTTGTGGTTCTTCCTCAGATCTAATAAACCCGGCAGCAGCCCCAAAGGTCAGACCCCAGATGAGAGCAACCGCCGGACAGACGCGAACTCTTCCGTCTCAGACCTGGCCAACTCCGTCACGAGTGATCTGGTGATGGTAATGTGAACCTGTGGCTGTGGACTGTTTTCTTATTGTTTTGCCTCTCTAAAGTTGCACTAGTTTTGGTGGGAATCCTTTAAACACAGGGATGCATTGTGTGTAATTGGTGCGCTCCGTTACTGCAGTCAGTCACACAGACAGATGTGTCAAAGGCAACTTACCTCTAAAAAGCCGGTAATTAGAACTGGTACAATGTTCTGAAGGAACCACGGATGACGGCCTTCACAGGGTCTGTGTGTCATTACGTGGGTGGTAAGGCGTTTTTAAAGAGAAGTGATGAGGGCTAATGATGGTGCTTCCTCTTTAAGAGGGCGCTTCTCGCAGCTTTGAGTCCCACTGGGGGGGATCCAGGCATTGGGGCATGGCGTGTCAAATTAAGCCCAACTTTCAGCCAAGGTCCTGACACGGATGGGAGTTCATTAATTCGATATGCCGCTGCTTGTCAGACCACTTTAAGTGATGGATTACTAAGGTGTTTGTAAAGACCACCAGCCGGTCGCCAACTTTTCGCCCTTCACCACATATTAATGTTAGAATATCACCACCCGTTAAAAAATCCCGCCGTCATTTTTGTCTCAATGTTTTGTTAATCATGTTTAGGCGGCAGGGTAGTCCGTTACATAAGTTAGCCTGATTCAAACCAATAGCTACTAAATAACTAACTTAAGTATTGTGAAGCACGACTCACATTTTGATTGAGAAGGTTTTCATGCTGTTAATCTAATTCTGTGATACTCTCATAAGCAAACAAATACATAACACAAATATTGAATTTACAATTAGAAATACCTTTATACAGTTGTGGTCAGAATGAATGGCACCCCTGGTAAATATGATAAAAAATTGCCTTTAAAAATTAAATCTGCATTGTTTATACTTTTGATCTTTCATTTAAAAAAAATTGCAAAAATCTAACCATTCATTGAAGTAAAAGAATTGAAAGTGCGGGGGAAATCACATTATGATATGAATTTTTTTTTTTTCTCCAAAACACGTTTGTCATAATTATTGGCACCCTTAGAATTTTTTAGGTAAAATATCTCTGAAGTATATTCCCATTAATATTTACCTTTTTTTTTAGCACAGCAGGAGGACTAGGAACATGAAATTGTCTAGCCATGACTTCTTGTTTCACAGGAGTTTAAATATGAGGAAACACAAAGGCCAAATTCCCTTAATCATCCATCACAATGAGTAAAACCAAAGAATATAGTTCTGATGTGCATCAAAAGATTGTTGAGCATCACAAAATAGAAAGTGTGTGTCACTTTCACACGGATCTGCCACAATGACTAAAAACGCTGTTTTATGCATGCCAGGCTAGTAGTTGGCGATGTCACTTTATAAAGTAATATGTGCGCCTGATGTCACCGTTTTCACAAATTCACGTTTTTGTAGTGTAAAAAACTTGCACTTTGAAACCTGTTTTCAAAAGTTTGTGTTTTCAGGCCCCCAAAACAGTTGTCATGTAAATGAACAGCCAAAATGCATAAAAAGTTTTGTTTTTAGTTGAAAATGCCGTCATGTAAACGGCCCCTTAATCTTATTTTACTATTATTTATATACTATTTATCAATATTTTGAATTAGCTTTTATTTTCATATTTTCAGTTTAGTTTTTTTAATATATTTTCATGTTAGTAATTTTGTTGTTATGTGCATTTGTTTTATTAGTTTTTGTTTTTTAATATATTTCTTTTTAGTTTTAGTGTTTTCTGGACTTGCAAGGAAACATTTTTAACCGTTCTATATTTAAGTTTTCTTTAACTTTGCTTCTAGATACAGTTATGGTGCATGACACACATCGCAATGTGGTTTTGGTAATAATGATTTAACGTAAAGCGATTTAAAGCGGCCGTTTAATGACAATTTTGTCCACTTTGGTTTGTAAGTTGTCCCCAGGATCTGAGGAAGAGGAACACGAAGGACCCGTGTGCGAGAAGTTGGGACGCATCCAGTTCAGCGTGGGATACAGTTTTCAGGACTCCACACTAACAGTAAAAATCCTGAAGGGCCAGGATCTACCTGCGAAAGACTTTTCTGGAACTTCAGACCCATTTGTCAAACTCTACCTTCTGCCAGACAAGAAGCACAAACTTGAGACCAAGGTCAAAAGAAAGAACCTCAACCCTCATTGGAACGAGACATTCCTATTTGAAGGTCAGTTTGTTTTTACATCTCACTACATTATTATGTATTTTGAATTCCTTGTCTTTATGTAATTTAAAGGTGGTTTTCCTCGTGTAGCCAGACTTTTGACTCGGCATAAAAACTAAATTCACATCACAGCTAAATGTTGCCCAAGTCTGTTTATATATATATATATATATATATATATATATATATATATATATATATTGTGAAAAGCCTAAAAATCTGGAGTTTTCGATTAAAATTCAACCCATACTGTTCAAAAGATGTTTTCATGTTTTTGAAAATGTTTTGAACAGTCTCTTATGCTCACCAAGGCTGCATTTATTTAATCAAAAATAAATTTTAATCAGTAAAAACCGTAAAATTGTGAAATATTATTACAATTGGCTGGTTAGCATTGGCTTGTTAGACCCTGCTGTAACAACACCACCATAACAGCTATTCATAATTAGCAAGTATTTTTTATTATATTATATGTATTGCAAGCAAACATACACTACCATTCTAAAGTTTGGGGTGATTTTTAAAAAGTTTTTGAAAGAAGTCTCTTATGCTCACCGAGACAGCATTTATTTGATCAAAAATACTGTAATATTGTGAAATATTATTACAATTTAAAATAACTGTTTTCAATTTTAATATATTTTAAAATGGAATTTATTTCTGTGAAGAAATAAATCATTACTCCAGTCTTCAGTCACATGATCCTTCAGTAATCATTCTCTGATTTGCTGCTCAAGAAAAAAATATGATCATTTTCACGTCTTCCATCGGGTTTGCAACAATTACCTCAAACGGATGTGTTAAACCAAATTAAATAAATAATAGTTTATGTATTAGTTCTTCCTCGCAATTGTTTCCCAGCGCAAACAAAAGGCTGTCCAGTGTTGTATGCAGTATGCATCAGATGGTCAATGAACACCCTGGAGCCGGTCCACAGTATTTTTGGACCCCATAGTGAGCTGTAAATAATTTTGGCTAAAATTATCCCCCTCTCATTTCTCTCACAGGGTTCCCATTTGAGAAGGTGGTGCAACGCACATTGTACCTGCAAGTGCTAGATTATGACCGTTTTAGCAGAAATGACCCTATAGGAGAGGTGTCCATCCCCCTGAACAAGATGGATCTGGCCCACATGCAGACCCTCTGGAAGGAGCTGAAACCCTGCAGCGATGGAAGTGTGAGTAGATCAGTGTGTTTCTGTACTCAGTTACCTTCCTAGCATTATGAAATTTGAAGAGCTTTTGCAGAGTTCTGCACGGGCAGGAGGAAGGAGCCAAAGGCACCAATGCAGGAACAACAGATGCCAATATTAGTCAAAGAAAAGCAGAGATGAAGTGACGGAATGGGGTCGGCTAGGGATAGGGACAGGGACAATACAACATTAATTGTGCAGTGGGTTGATTATGATGTGCAGAGCTTGTCATGCCTCAAGTAATGACACGCTGGGTGCTGTCAAACGTTTTAGCCCTTTTACACAAGAACAAAGGGGGCACAAATGTGTCGTTTGCACAGTCTTTGAAGTTCTCCTGAAAGAGTTTTCTGGCATGGGGCGTCCAAAAGATCACCCACAGATTCATTGATTCTGGTGTGAAAAGTCCATCGCCTGTGATGTAGTTAGTGTTTGAAGCTGCAGGGTTCCCACTAAAACTTCATAGTTCATTGAAATGGTCCTGCCGTGTGACAAATCCGTTGTTATGAGTACAAATATTTCATGAAGTCACTCGATTGGTATGAGGTGAATAGAACTGCATGTGTGATCAATATAGAAGTTGGAATTAGATGAATTGCCTTAGTAATAGGCAATATATGGTTCAGATTGATTAATCAGCTGATATATGATGATATCACAGTGCACATTTTCATTTTCGTGTGTCTGATTTGCATTCATGAACTTGTACAGTATATGTGTATACGGTTTATTCCACTGAATGGGTGTTAAATACAACTTTTTAAAAAATCTTTTTTTTTAAACTGAATCTAATAATACATATATTTAAAGGGTTAGTTCGGCCAAAAATGAAAATTATGTCATTAATGACTCTCATAACATGACCCTCATGTTGTTCCAACCCCGTAAGACCTCCGTTCATCTTTGGAACACAGTTTAAGATATTTTGGATTTAGTCCGAGAGCTTCCTGTCCCTCCATTGAAAATGTATACAGGCTATACTGTCCTTGTCCAGAAAGGAAATAAAGACATCATCAAAGTAGTCCCTGTGACATCAGTGGGTTAGTTGGAATGTTTTGGAGCATCGAATATACATTTTGGTCCAAAAATAACAAAAACTACGACTTTATTCAGCATTGTATTCTCTTCCGGTTCTGTTGTCGAGCCGCGTTCAGTGACGCTGCTGACGTAAGACGTTGATGACGTGTAATCTGGTGCGAAAGAGCTTCATTTACAGTCTGAGGGAGATGCACGCTGTAAACAAAACAATCTTCGCAAACATGTCTAAGGATTTCGACACAGAGGAAGACTTGCATTTTTTTGCCCAGCCATATTTATTTGAACCCGAATACACGGACGCACCGGATTACACGTCAGCAGCGTCTTACGTCACCAGCGTTACTGCGGACTCGTGAACGCGGCTTGACAACAGAACCGGAAGAGAATACAATGTCGTTAAGTCGTAGTTTTTGTTATTTTTGGTCCAAAATGTATTTTCGATGCTTCAAAACATTCTAACTAACCCACTGGTGTCACATGGACTACTTCGATGATGTCTTTATTTCCTTTCTGGACAAGGACAGTATACCGTACATATATTTACAATGGAGGGACAGAAAACTCTCTGACTAAATCTAAAATATCTTAAACTGTGTTCCGAAGATCGACGGAGGTCTTACGGGCTTGGAACGACATGAGGGTGAGTCATTAATGACAATTTTCATTTTTGGGTGAACTAACCCTTTAACTATTCAAAATATGTGTTGGTCCATCTCAGGTAACTTTTATTTAATTTTTTACAAGGTTTTTAAGTGGAAGATGGATGCATTTTTCTCAGTCCTGTTACCAAAACTCATCTGACTGTCATGTATTTAATGTTTAATAATATACAGTATAATTATATATATATATATATATATATAACAAAATAATTATATATATATATATATATAATATATTTTATTATTATATTTTATTATTTTATTATTATCATATATGTATTATTTATTCTAACAGGTAGACACAAAAAGAGATGGTAACAGAAATTATAAATCTGAGACACGCAATACATTGTGTGAAATAGATATATGATATATGAAACAGATGTAATGAGTGGAATAACAACCAGAACACAAATTAAATATCCTATGAAATATACATTATTATGTATAATTAAATATATTTAATATGGTATTGAAAAAATACATTTAAAAATTACAAAAATAAAAAGAGGTTTGGGTTTGCCTGGTTATTTCACATAAAAAAATTGGGACCTCATATGAACCATCCGCTTGCGTGACCAATGAACCAGTCCGGGACTGACCTTACTGTGTTCATTTCTTCAGGGGAGTCGAGGAGACCTCCTTTTGTCTCTGTGTTACAATCCCACTGCCAACACCATCACTGTGAGCATCGTCAAGGCACGCAATCTCAAAGCCATGGACATCGGGGGAACATCCGGTATGAACATACACCCATAAAACCTCATAGATGAATCATAAATATAACCTTGTTGCTCAGCTGCTAGAATATGAAACTAGCACACCATCATGTGTTAAATTCTCACAGGACACACTGTATATGTGTTTACCTTGAATGCACTGGAAGTTATTTTGCAAAGCCTCTGCTAAGTGAATAAATGCAAATATAATATAGTTATATTCTGCATGTGGGATTCCTGTGGAAATTAAGTGTCCTTGTCAAGATGCCGTATCCACAATAATTATCGCGAATTAAATTTAGAATTCATCACAGGAATTCTGATTCCCTTGATGCAACTCACTGTGGACTGTTGCCTGTTCGTGTGCATTTCAGACCCCTACGTCAAAGTGTGGCTGATGAACAAGGATAAACGAGTGGAGAAGAAGAAGACGGTGGTGATGAAGAGGTGTTTGAACCCAGTATTTAATGAGTCCTTCCCCTTCGATGTCCCCGCTCACGTCCTCAGAGAGACAACCATCGTCATCACAGTCATGGATAAGGACAGACTGAGCCGCAATGATGTCATAGGCAAGGTGCGATGTCACGGGGACATTCACACACATACACACTGGGGCTGGGGGATAAAACTAAATTCTAAATGTATATTTATATACACTCACCTAAAGGATTATTAGGAACACCTGTTCAATTTTTCATTAATGCAATTATCTAATCAACCAATCACATGGCAGTTGCTTCAATGCATTTAGGGGTGTGGTCCTGGTCAAGACAATCTCCTGAACTCCAAACTGAATGTCAGAATGGGAAAGAAAGGTGATTTAAGCAATTTTGAGCGTGGCATGGTTGTTGGTGCCAGACAGGCCGGTCTGAGTATTTCACAATCTGCTCAGTTACTGGGATTTTCACGCACAACCATTTCTAGGGTTTACAAAGAATGGTGTGAAAAGGGAAAAACATCCAGTATGCGGCAGTCCTGTGGGCTAAAATGCCTTGTTGATGCTAGAGGTCAGAGGAGAATGGGCCGACTGATTCAAGCTGATAGAAGAGCAACTTTGACTGAAATAAACACTCGTTACAACCGAGGTATGCAACAAAGCATTTGTGAAGCCACAACACGCACAACCTTGAGGCGGATGGGCTACAACAGCAGAAGACCCCACCGGGTACCACTCATCTCCACTACAAATAGGAAAAAGAGGCTACAATTTGCAAGAGCTCACCAAAATTGGACAGTTGAAGACTGGAAAAATGTTGCCTGGTCTGATGAGTCTCGATTTCTGTTGAAACATTCAGATGGTAGAGTCAGAATTTGGCGTACACAGAATGAGAACATGGATCCATCATGCCTTTTTACCACTGTGCATGCTGGTGGTGGTGGTGTAATGGTGTGGGGGATGTTTTCTTGGCACACTTTAGGCCCCTCAGTGCCAATTGGGCATCGTTTAAATGCCACGGCCTACCTGAGCATTGTTTCTGACCATGTCCATCCCTTTATGGCCACCATGTACCCATCCTCTGATGGCTACTTCCAGCAGGATAATGCACCATGTCACAAAGCTCGAATCATTTCAAATTGGTTTCTTGAACATGACAATGAGTTCACTGTACTAAAATGGCCCCCACAGTCACCAGATCTCAACCCAATAGAGCATCTTTGGGATGTGGTGGAACGGGAGCTTCGTGCCCTGGATGTGCATCCCACAAATCTCCATCACCTGCAAGATGCTATCCTATCAATATGGGCCAACATTTCTAAAGAATGCTTTCAGCACCTTTTTGAATCAATGCCACGTAGAATTAAGGCAGTTCTTAAGGCGAAAGGGGGTCAAACACAGTATTAGTATGGTGTTCCTAATAATCCTTTAGGTGGGTGTATATACACATATATTTATATGTAGTGTTGCAGTTTTTTTGTTTGTAACTTTTTTGGTGTTGGTAAATTTAATGGAAAACACAATACTTATTATTTTTTCCTGTTCTTGTTTCTTCCACCTTATTCTTCTCTCCTTCTCTTTTTTTCATGGCATATTTCTAGATCTATCTCTCATGGAAGAGTGGCCCAGCAGAGGTAAAACATTGGAAAGACATGATGAGTCGTCCGCGCACTGCTGTTGCCCAATGGCACGCTCTCAAAGCTTGAAGGACCCGCCCACCAAAAGTAAACAACACCTTCAAAACCCTGTTGATATGCACAAGTTTAAACACGGGTACCAAAAGCCATCCAACTATCTTTCTCTCTCTTTCTCTCTTTCTCTCTCTGTCTCTCTTTCTCCCTTCTCAATTTTTTTCCTGCAGTTTGTTTATGGAGATTCTTTCTTTATTCACTGCTTTTATTTTTTCCCACCAAAAAGAGGCTAAGCACTGCCAAGAAGACTGGGAGAGAAAGTCTTGCATAACTGAGGTAAACAGACTCGTTTTCCTTGAGAAAAAGTTTGACAACTCGACTGTTCTCTGAACAGCTGGACCGCGGAACAGGGTGACTTCTATCAACTTCAATCGCTGAACTTCTATCAACTTCAATCGCTGAACTTGAAACGGCTGAAAACAATCTCCCGAACAGACCCCTATATTGCCATTTTTGTGTCTCGCCTCCCTCGTGCCGTCCCTCTGAGCGTACGGAAAGATCCGGAAGGATCGCAACCACAGTGCAATACCTAGTTGAAGGAGGGATGAACTTGTTATGTGTTGGACTTCGCCACCTCTTGATGTTTTTTCTCGGAACAGTGTAGAAATTCGTTGGAACTCTTTGTCGTCTGTATGTACTGTGGGTGCTGTTATGTGACAGAAAAAAAAGAGGTCTTGTTAAAAAAAATGGGAAAACATTCAAATTTAAGCTCACTTTATTAACTGGATCAGTTCAAGTGCATAGAGGAAATATGTTTAAATAATTTTAGGACATTCCAATAAGTGTATAAAACAAAAAACGAGAATTGTTAGTGGGTCTACGCAAGTACTTGAATGCTTGTTGTTTCTAGCCATGTAAGCTTGATTTCATGCATTGTTGCGTCAGAGTACAATTAAGTCCCGTTTCCACCTGGTATTAAGATGCATCCACTTGTGTTTGGATTTTGTCAAGACCCTCCCCTCTTATTTTGTCACATTCTACATCACTTTCGAGGAGCGCCAAGTACTGTGCACGAATACGATTGAATTAATGAATTATGCTGCTTACGAGTGAGCTGAAATAGCCTGGTAATACCAAACTCTGCTACTTCGCTTTGCTTCGTAGACAGAGTCTGGCATGGCATAATTTAAAGGTTTTTTCTTTCTCGCGGGGGGGGGGGGGGTTACCCGTAAGCCAATCACTATGGCAAGCCGTTTTAACTTTTATTCATTTCCAGGATATGAATACTTGATATCAACAATTCAATTTTCACTAGTTAAAATTATAATTATTGATATCAGGAATAATATTTCTACTAGTAACAATGGCAATTTTTGATATCAGGAATTACATTTTCACTAGTAACAATGTTAATTCTTGACATCAACATTTACATTTTCAATAGTTAAACTGATAATTCTTGATATCAACAATTGAATTGCAACAAGTAAAAACTATAATTCTTGATATCTGTAATTGTATTTTCACTAGTGAAATGTCACTATAGGCTGCCATTCAAAATCAATTCTTGATATCAAGAATTTATTTCTTACTAGTTGAAATTCCAATTTCACATATCAGAAATACAATTCTTACTAGTAAAAACCTTCATTTTTGATATCAAGAATTAAATTGTCACTAGTTGAAATGTCTATTCTTGATATCAACAATTGAATTGCTACTAGTAACAATGTTCATTTTTGATATCAATAATTCAATTTTCACTAGTGACAATGTTAATTTATGATATCATGAATGTGATTGTTACTAGTAAGAAAGCCATTTTAGATATCTGAAATAATATTGATATCAATAATACATTTTCAGATATCAAGAATAAACATTTTTACTAGTAGCAATTCAATTGTTGATATCAGGAATTCGCATTTTTACTAGTAACAATGTAATTCTTGATATCAGGAATATAATTCTTGATATCAACAATTGAATTCTTGATATCAACAATTGAATTCTTGATAACAACAATTGAATTCTTGATATCAAAAATGTAATTCTTGATATCAAAAATGTAATTCTTGATATCAAAAATGTAATTCTTGATATCAACAATTGATTTTGAATGGCAGCCTATGGTGACATTTCACTAGTGAAAATACAATTGTTGATATCAAGAATTCAATTGTTGATATCAAGAATTCAATTGTTCATATCAAGAATTCAATTGTTGTTATCAAGAATTCAATTGTTGATATCAAGAATTCAATTTTTGATATCAAGAATTATATTCCTGATATCAAGAATTACATTGTTGATATCAAGAATTCAATTGTTGATATCAAAAATGTAATTGTTGATATCAATAATTATAATTTTAACTAGTGAAAATTGAATTGTTGATGTCAAGGATTCATATCCTGAAAATGAATAAAAGTTAAAACGGCTTGCCATAAATCACATAACGTTTGGTTATGATGTGTTATTCGCCAGCTCAGCCGCATCGAACTTCCACTGTAAACACATGTATGATGCGAAAACGAAACCATCGAGCGAAATACCGGAGTGAACATGGCTGACCGAGTTTTGCTGCCTCCTTAACCTGATCCTCCACGAGTGCAATCAAGGGGGACACAATCACAACTATCGCCTTGCCGGCCTTTGGCCTCCCCAGTTTCTCGCTGACGATTGGTAAAATTTGATAAATTAAACTTTTACCAGGGATTTCAATTGTTTTGGTACAACATAGTGAAGTTTGAATTGATTGTTTTGGTGGGCTTTCTCAAAACATGTCCAGTAATGCTGACGCTTTTGTGGCTGTCTTAACGTATTTGACCACATGACCGACTGCACTACAAAAGCAACCTGGTTGAATGGGTCAAACATAGACAAGCTCGAAACGTTTTAGACCCCATTTATACCTGTATTTAGCGTTTTCTAATTGTGATCAGATTGACAAAAATGCATTTTAACATCAGGTGTAAACGGGGACTTAGTAACACAATGCAAGAACGTGTTGAATTCTCAGTGTTACCACTAGAGGCACTATGTGCGGTTTATTACCGCAGACATGTGAAGGGAGCTCTTATCACGCCCCTGAGGTTTGTTACCACTACAGAACCCAGCATAAGGGTGTGTTCACACCGAACCTGAAGACACAAAACTTATATGACGTATATTTTCCGACACCTGTACTGAAGTGTAATAGGCAACGTAGCTTCTATGACGAGAAGAACCTGGTATTCTTGAGCGTTCTTTCCTTTTTAGGGTCGCATCTTGTGACATCACGACCTGTTTTGGGTTAGTTTAGGTTAGGGTTTGGTCTGTGTTGTGCTCATATTTCCACCACAGTTCATTTGGAAGTGCACAGAGACCCACATTTTCCTCGGTCCGCTTGTTTGGTGCACACCAAGATTCGGATGGCAGCGTTTACACTTATTCAAATGAACCGCACTAACAGAGCAATCGCACCAGAGTTCATTTCAATGGAACCAAAGCTGCCAAATGTGAACACATCCTAAGTATGTACATCAGGATGGCACGCTTGCAATCCGCTGGCCAAAGCATTTGTGTACTTGCGTAGACTAGAGTACGTTGCTAAATTTCTTCCAAAGCAAAATGAGATAGGCAAGAGAGGAGTGTGCGTTTGAAGCGTGTGTGTCGACATATACGCCTTTGTTGTAGAAACAGAACCACAGAAATCCTTTTATCTAAACTAGCATTCCTCATGTAACGTACACATCTTGCAGAGGATTGCATCAACCAATTAACCAGTATGCAATGACACTGCCTATGTGAGTTCAATGCTGCCAAAACGCTGTTCATTTCTTTTCATTTCCAAAAGGGCTGAAGAAGTTCCCTCCAAAATAAGACGTGCAATTTAGAACTTAACTAAAGAAAAAGAGCGGAAGCAGAAAATATAATGTAAGTCATGTGATTGTTTGTGCGTCTTTGACTTGGTGTGTGTGTGTTTGTATGCGTTTGTTGCTGTCTGTATTTGTGTATGTGTTGATGGTTGGATCACAACGATCATACGATTGATTCCTTACAGTACTTATGCTGCCTTCAAGTCTTAATGCAAAGTTTGAGACATCATAATTACAGCAGGTTTTGGCTGGAATAAAATAGACACAAATTGATTCAAATTTTTGCAACAGCATAAAGTCACATACCCAAAAAAATGGTGTAGAAACAATTTTCACTAATAATTACAAAGTAACATTAAATTAAACAAAATGTTGATGAAAGACTGAAATAATATTTTCTTGAAAAAGGTACTCAAGTAATCGTTTTATTTACAACTTCAAACTTTTTTCTTTTTTTTTACAATGTTGCAGAGGTTCCGTTCACATATTTTTATGCAAAATTTGGGATATTGCATTAAATTCTTGAATGGAAGCTTCAAAAGCTCAACTGAGGAGGATACATTTTTATTCGTTACGAAGACATGCTTAAATGTATTAAACTATTTACAAACATTTACTAAATAAATTCTTAGATATGCATCAGAACATTCATCTATTATTTATTTGAATTTATTTAATTTATTACATTTAAGAAAACTACCATAGTTCCATTCTTTTTTTGCCTTTTTCCTTGAAAGTGATGATTTTGTTCTCCACTATTTTTGTTCAAAATTAGTTTTGCAGTGTTCACTTTATGGGCATAAATGAACTTGGATAAATGTGTGTAATTGATTCTTTTGAGCAGGATTTCATGGGGATACTTCACGTAAATATTTAAGCTAAATAAGGGATAAACTGACAAAAAAAAGTTTGGGAATCTCTGCTTTAGAGAATGATGTGCAATGTAGTTTAGTTCCACAAGCTTGTCGGCTCATAAACCGGTTAATAAGTAGTATTTTGTGGCAAGCTTTTTGGTTGTTCCTCATGAACAGTACAAAAAATGTGTACAAACTGAATTGTGCCATCCACATTCACAATTACAGCTTATTATGATAGCAATTAGCTTCTGGCATAATTCTTGAATCAACATGCCCTCAACTCACAAAGTCTGTGCTCAATGAAAATAATTATGCTAATTGCGACATTGCGATCTTGCTCATACGGTCTCATCTCTTAAACACGATCATTCCAACATGACTTGAAGGCAGCATTAGCCTGGCGTCGAGGTTAGTATAATGTGAGTTATAAATGGCAGGTCTGCAGGATATAATAGCAATACTATCACATTTTGTTTTCCGAATAACATTTTGTATGCTGCGTTTGCTTGGGATTTCTGTCGCCTCTTAATGTGTTACTTATGTAACAGAGAAAAGGCAAATATAGAAAGGGAAGGTTTCAAATTGTTACCATGTCAACAGTTAAATTAGGAGAAATATCTATACTTATTATAACAGACTACAAAACTTCATTGAAGAAGCAAACTCCTTACTTGAAATTATAAGGCAATGTACTGTAGATAAGCAATATTTATGTACAA